ATATGACTTAGGACTGTGTATATTCTCTTATCAGGAATGATAACTCTTTTATAGAAAAAACAAAAATGGTAACACCAATGACACAAGTTTCTTGTATAGTCATATTTAATGCTGTATCAGTTAAATGGAAGATGTGGCTCAGATTTTTTTAATTCAAACCTATATTTTATTTAATGTTTATTTTATGCATTCATGATTTTTCAGACAAAATTTCTTATAATTTTTGGCTAATTAATCCTTATTTGAAGGGAAGAATTCTATTGACAGCATGAATTTGGCTGATTGGTGTAATAAAAATCATCCATTGACTTTAATAAGATTTATTTTGTAAAAATTCTATTAGTAAATAAAAAGAATAGATGTCATACATTGTAAAGCAACAGACCAAAATAGGGAGAAAAGATTTTACAAAGAAGTGACATGTTTAGCTGCTTTTTTTTAATTGACCAATATACCTGGTAAATATGAACTTTAAGAAAAAAAATGAAGTATAAATTGCACAGGATTGGAGTCGATTTTGTAACTTTGAACTATCCATTTCAGATGTTATTGCATATATATGTCGTTTAAGTGTATAATAGTCAAACATTTAAGGCGTAACAAATTAGACTAGACATCCAATATATGCTATTGTTTTCTTAAAAATGTCTAATTCTTTAGTGTTTCTTTAAATAAAAATTGTATTTATTTGCACATTGTAAAAGAAATTTATCTTGAACAACTTTTTTTCATTAAAGACATGCAGCTCACATTTTTGATATTCGTCCCATTAAATACAATCATACGTATATTTGTGTCGTAGTAACAAAACAGACTAGACATCAACATAGCTGTATTAATCTCTCCTATTAGTTGCTAATAATTTGTTAAAGAAACATTTGCTACTTCTTGATTTGCACATTTCATTAGTCACTAGTTTTACGAAAAGGACCTGTCATATAAAAAAAATTTTGACCGAACATTCCACCTTTCCTTGTTACTCGTTTAGATTACGAAATATTACAAAATGCTTATGATTTTCAAATTGTCGGAATTGGTCAATATACTGGATATTTATTAATGAATTTTTGTGACGTCATCACAGGACGTTACTCAATTTTATACCCCAACACAATGCGCGACGTCATAGTATCCATTGAGTATATGCCTTTGCACTGGATCGATTTATTAAGACACCCACATAGCCCTGTTATGTGCTTGCATACAAATATACTGCAGTGTCAATTAAATACGTAATATAATACAACAAAATATATAAATAAAATCACAAAGAAGATATTGAATCTAAGTTAACGGCCTATAGAATATCTGTAAATAATATTTATGATACCCCACCCCCGCTTGAAAAGAAGGAGGGTATACAGTAATCGCTATGTCCGTCCATACGCTTTGTGGTACCAAACCTTCTTATACTACTTAGAGAAATTTAATGAAACTTTCACAGAATCTTCATTACATATTACCATTGTGCACCTTTTATATAACTTTTTGATTCGACACGTATTTTATGTTTTCTGTAGCAAAACATGGACATTGCCATTATATTCTTATCTAAGTATGTCGTCGTGCATGTGGCGGCTTCTGAATAACATTTGATAAGACGAGTTATTCCTTTTTACACATTACCGTAAAACAATATACATGTAAAGCAAAACATGGACATTATGGGAGGGGTATCATTTATATTTTACATCTAAAATAATATGGTGACCTATACATTTCGTGCAATCATTGGAAAACTTAAAGTATATTAAATGAAAATAAATACAGTTTTTGTTTTTTGAACCATAAAAAATGTGAGGGTGGAAACATGCACCTTAAATTAGTAGATAACCTCATCTCGTGGTATTTAAAAGAATTGTGGTATGACTTATATTTTTTATGATGTCATAGTTAAATTTTCCATACACATTCAGCTCTGCCTCCTTTTTGTAACCTTAACTGTGCTGCGGCATCGACTAATTGAAAATGCTTAAAAAAATATCTCTCAATTTTCAAAGTAACGTGTTTTTACCAATAATAATTTTCCAAACTTAAAATTTCAAGTTAATTATATTATATAAAGAAAATTAGTAAATTCCCAAATATTTTCAAAAATTGAGAATAAAAACACCTATTTAGCATTTTCCAATTTAGATTTGATCAATTAACACATTTTAAAAATAAAAAAACCATATGTATCCAGTTTTAGGGGGAAAAAATCTACAATTTTTAATGTATTTTTAAATATCTTTTAATGCTTTCTATCACCTTACAATGCAAAGTATATAAATATTCTCCTGTCATTATAAAGCTCCATAAATCACTCCTTATTTCATATCATGTTTATAAACATTGGTATCCGTGGTAAGATTAAAATGAACATCAATTTCTTGATGTATGCAATTTTAAAAATGCTTTTACGTGGTAAAAATTTCTAATTTTAATTAGACCTTTCTGAGAACTTCAAAGAACCTTGAAGCAGATTGAGAGGTATATAATGAAAATTGTTTCATGAAAAGATTCAATTTTATTTTCAAGCTTCATTTTGTTTCTTAAGTGCCGAATATAGAACAAAAGGCAAGGGTGAGAATTGGTTATGATTATTTGCTAAAATCGTTCTATATTTGCCGAGCTGTATTTGAATATTATGGTACATTTGTTTTCCGGAATATGAATGAGGTCACCTCAGTCACTTATGTTTTTTGTCCGTAGTCGTCCGTCGGGCGACGTGTGTAAACATCGCAGCACAGTTAAGGTTAAAGTAAGGAGGCGGGCCTAATTTGTACGGGAAATGTGTACTATGACGTCAAACATAATATAAGGTCTTCAAAATACCACAAAATGAAATTATTTGCTATTTCAAACAGCTGGATAGCTGTAATCTACATACGAACGTACTATTGTATGCAACTTTGTCGTTTGTTAAATCCAACAAAACAGTATAAAAACGATGCATCGATCGCAATGCACTTGTCAATGTGATGTCATCTACAAACAATAGCGCAGTTTTTACACAGTGAGAGGCTTATCAAGTCACATTTTATGCTATGAAATGTGTCTTTTGTTCTCAAATAAAATATTATTTGCCTTCAAATATAAGGTCGTTAACTTGGATACGATGTTTATTTTAGTATACTTTTATTAATTAACTGTCTGTACATTCTCAAGACAAGTGACACTGTCGTATGTTTGTATGCAGATTCATTGAAAAAGTAATTACAGGGCCATTCTAAATCAATGTATTGCAAGAGAATACCCTTTATATATCTTGTCAATTTTTTACACATAACCTCAAGAAGCATTAAGATTTATAAAAAAAAAAAAAAAGCTGCGAACCTCATGAAATCTTGCAAATAAATTAATTACAGCAATATTTCATGTAGTTGACAAGCAAAATATTCAATCTGCCGTCCTACAAATTAAATTTTAGCAATTAAAAAAGGGAATCTATATAGGTTCGCAATACTTTTCACAAACTACAAATAGTGTTGAAAAGGGCTATAAATTAAACTAAGATTTTTAACTTGGTTATGCCCTTGCAATAGTAGAATTTATAGATGACCTCTAAACTGCAAGTATTATTGCTTAAATCATGTGACGTCGACATCACGTGACAAATCTTCATAAAAAATCTAAATGTCCCCAACATGTAGATTTAAGCCAAATTACATTTATTGATATCAGTGTAGTTCTTAAAAGAATCGCCCATTCTAATGAAGTATGCATTTCTTATCTTAAGAAATCGCTGATATTTCCATTTGTAACCTTAACTGTGCTGCGATTTCCACATTTTCAGCCTCTCTGCAACTGCTAACCTATTTTGGAATAGGGCATGTATGGATTAAGGGGAACAAAAATTATTTATTTCATGCCCCCCCCCCTTTAAACCTGCAGGTTTGGGCCAAAAGTACTAAAATTTATGCGATCTTTTAAAAATCTTGATCTTTACTCCTGAACATTAAGAAGTCAAACTTTTGGCATGATTATTATAAACATTGAGTCCTCCATCAAAGCTGTGAAAGTCATATCCTTAGGTACTATTGCTAGGGCGGGGGAATATATATAATATTGTGAAAATGCATTATTTTTTTAAAAAAATCTTCTTCCTTGCTCCTGGGTGTCGAATAAGCTAACTACATACGGTTATGATGCGGTGAAGTTTCTATTCTAAAATTTTATATTTCTTGGACTCTAGGTCCGGAGTTCTTGTGATAGGACAGTGCTCTATTTATTTTATAGTAAAATATACCCCCTATTACTTCTTTAAAAATCTTTTTCCCTGCTGCTGGGTATTACATACATAATTATTTTAAGAGAGGGTACCTCTAAAATTGTGAATTGCATGGCTCCAGGGTCTGGTGATAGGGAAGAGATACTTGTACAAAAAATATATTGTCAAAATGCATTATTATTTGAAACTCTTCCCCCTTTTATTCTATATAGCAATGATGAGCAACAGTATTTTAGTGCACTGCAAGGCCCGTGGGTAAGGGTATGTAGATGGGGAATGCTCAAATTAAAAACGTTTAAAATTATGTTGTCCGATCTTTACTGTCCATTTCCAAGAAAAGGCTTTTGTCATACTGAAAAATATAATTACCGTATTAATGGAAATTTTAGTGAGACGCAAATTTAGCCTTAGAAATTGGTATTTTAATTTTAATTTAGATGTAAAGTTAGATGTAATGTTAGCGTTTTTTTTTAAAGCTCACTATATAAGCAGTTACTAATAAAGCGCAATTAATTTTTAGCGATATTCAATGAAAGCGATCTTGGCACCTTCTCTTATAATGCCAAAATTATATCTTCGCTAAAATTTCTGCTTATATGGTTTAGATTTTGATATCTTTATTTCTGAAATTCCTAGACATAAGTTAATTTTTTTTCTTCTTTACTTAGAAGAAACTTCCTTGTTTCCTCAAAATACTCTTAAAGGTAAGACATTGTTATATTGACTTTTAGATCTGTTCTCACATTGATTGATTCCTGTTTTTCATGTCTTACGGGTTTTTTGACAGGACAAACGATCACACTACATGTCAAAACAGAAACTGTAACTTCAACGGATAGATATTGTAAGTAGTCGTAAGGTAAATGAAGAACAGGTTGTTTTTTGTTTTTGTTTTACATTTAATTAAACTTCTTTTAACTATGAATTGAATAGGTTGCAGTGAACAAAAATCCTGTGTGTTTTTATTTTGCTTCTTTTTTAATGTTGTATTTCTATCTCCATTTAGTTCACAAATTAAATGTGTCAAAAATTAGGCGCATACCGGTGATTTTTTAGGGTAAACTTTACAAGTTGTCGTCTTTTTTATTTGTTGTCATGGAATATGGTACTAGCTTATTTTATTTTTTATATCCCTCTTTAGCTTACCTGAGCCGCTGGCTCAAAAGTGTTTTTCCGATCAAAATTTGTCCGTTGTCTGTCATAGTTGTTGTTATTGTTGTCGTCGTTTTCAACTTTTTACATTTTCATCTTTATCTGGGCCAATTTCAACCAAACTCATCTCAAAATATCCTTAGGTAATAGAGATTCATGTTTCTTTAAATGAAGGGCCATGCCCTGTTCCAAGGGGAGAAAATTGTGAATAAGTGAATAATTAGGGGTATCATTTGAAAATCTTCTCCCCAAGACGCATTTGTCCAGAAAAGATGAAACTCATGTGGAAGCATCCTCATGTACTGTAGATTCAAGATTGTTGAAGGTATGGCCCCCAGGGTAGGATAAGGCCACAACTGGGTATCAAAGTTTAACATAGGAATACATGGGAAATCTTTTCAGGAAGCATTTGTCAAGAAAAGATAAAACTCATGTTGAAGCATCCTCAAATACCCCAGTAGTGTAGATTCAAGTTTGTTCAAGGCATTGCCTCCGGGGTTAGGATGGGACCACAATGGGATATTAAAGTTTAATATACGAATCTTTTAAAACATCTTCTTCTCAAGAATCATTTGTCCAAGAAAAAAGAAACTCATATGAAAGCATCCCTTTGTATGAGGGCTGTTCAATAAAAAATGTCAATGGTGCTCGGAAAAAAGTAATAGACGATTTTCAATGATTTAGTTTTCATGATTTTACTTATTAATTAAAAGATATTTCTGTAACATTTTTTGTCCAATTTTTGATTGGGTGTTTGGGGTACGATCCTAAGTATACTAAAAAAATGACAGATATACCGATTTCCTGGACATGTTTCTTCCGTCTGAAAGGTGTTTTTTTCCGAAGGCCTTCGCAGAAGATTTGATCACGTACCGACCCACTTCCATTCCAATTGAAGTTTATAAACTTGTTATTTATTACCTATATATACATTTGAATAAGACAATAGAATATTTTCGAATTTAAATTATTGCACTAACTGTCCGTCGTAGATTTTGAAACCTGACGCAAGGTGTAAATCGGCTTGCATGGCGGTTACGCTTCGAATTCATTAGGCTAAGGGATCTATTTCGAAGGGAGTATTTTTGTGAAATGCTTCTTGTGATTAGTAACAGCGAACAGATTGTTGTCTGGGAATATTTTCATTCTTGAAAATTGATAATCGATGCTGAAAAGACACGTGACGAGAAACACGTCTGAAGTTTGATGATAAAAAGTTGGAGGAATTTCGGTCGTTTGAAAGGGATTGATGAATCCGATGAATTGAGACACTTGTCCGAGCCGGTTAATTTGCAATTTGATCAAAAACATTCAACGGTTTGAGTAACGTAAGGCATACTTATCGTAAAAGCACGGAGACCCTGGCGACAGCTTAACATTGAACTATGAAAACACCGAGGTGTTTGGCAGCTGTTCATGGCATGATTGCAATGATATTTTCCAACAGATTTACACATTTATCGTGAGTAGAATTTAAAGATAAAATAATAGTTTTTTTCATAAAAATTCAACCAAGGTCTATCCAAAAAATAAGGATGAACGTTAGAGACTGTGCAGCTGTCAAAAGTGAAGAAAATGTAAACAAGCGTAAAAATGTAAAACTAACGCTTAATTTTCTCTATTAACACTGTAACACAGGTTGAATCGATTGCCAAAAAAGTGTATGAAATACTTATTTACATTTTAAATAAAATAATTATCATTTTACTTGCTTATTTTGATCATTTTTATACATGAAAAGCAAGTACAGCAGGTCATTGTATAATTTATGTACCGGTAGATATTATTGCGCCGTGTGATTAGGTCACGTATTGACCTCTGATTTCTGACAAATTTCAGACAGAATTGAAGATATTTTATCTCTGTATGTTTATATAATGGAGAGATACCACAGATGTATATATTACTTATTGATCAGCCCTCGTAGTGATCATTCAAATTTGTACCGGGTATGACAATCGGGGGTAGGGTGGGTCCACAATAGGGTAACAAGTTTTAGTATAGGAATACACGAAAAAACTTCAATTCCTAGCATAGGAATACTTCGCAAAAAAAACAAATCTTCTCAAGAACAGCATAGTAATGCCAATTATATTTATTAGAAGCGTCCATGTTTGTTCAAATCATAATCCCCTGCAGGAAGTATGGGACCATAATACTGGAGACACTTATTGTCCTCTTATTTGCTTAAATTAGGTATTTTGAGCTAAATATATTTGTAACCTGCAAAGTATTTGTCACACAGTTGCCAACAGTGAAAGAAGGTTCTACAAGAATTACTCCGATATATGATGAACATAGTAAAAGAGCATTAATCTGTGTTACTAGCCGTGATTCTAACAAAAATTGCATACTTTTTATCACTTTTATTCAACAATTACATGTAACTCAACAATTTGTATAAAGAAAATGATACGTATCAACGAACATATACTAGTTTAGTTATCTGTCCGTCGGTGACGACGATGACCAGTCTCATCTTCGTGGGGGAGGGGAATGACCAGGACGGTGGATGCGGAGGTGACTAGTAAGGCCCATCCTCGCTGAAGCAGAGGATGGAGTTTTTCGACTAGAGCCATGCCCCTTCTTTGGAAATCTAAGCTGGGATGCTCAGCAACTTAAGGGCAATAACTGTGTCTCCAGCATTGAAGCCACAATAGATTTGATGCTACCATACATTTTCTTACTAGTTAGGAGTATACCTTACCAAATATCACTATAAAGTTTATTCACCAAAAATGGTACCGACCACCCCCAGTGGTTCATGGACTACATGTGATAGTAGCATATAAATAGCTGGGCACTCTTTTTTAGTTACATCTTTTAAGAAGCTAAAAGCAGGCAACAAATGCGTTTCTTGTAACACTCTTTAGGTTTTCTCTAACCGAATCTTGCTTTGGAAAAATGTATTTTAAGACACTTTAAATTTATAAAGTCGTAACAACTTCAAATGTGTCTTGATCGATTTATTAAGGAGAGATGATACAAACAAACTTTTGTCAAATGATTTGAAAATAACGACTTGAGTCATGTTAACATGAATAAAATGAACAAGTTTCACCGCATAGTTTATAAAATCTAATTCAAATTTTCGCAAAAATAGACAAAAATAGGTTTTGAAGTGAACAATATATGTATAGATCGATAAAGATGGTTTCAGAGAGGCAGGGTTTTCAACATCAAAGAAGGTTTACAATTCCTCCATACTCTAGATAAAGTAGGCACAAAATATATACCGATCCAGGCATCCAGTTTTTGTTTGTATCATCTGTCCTTAAACTCATGAAATATTTTGTACCGGAGCAATACATGTACTATGACTTTTTTCAAGCATATTTAGACTACACAAGAAGAAGATTTATTGATTGATATATCAAAAAGTTTATAATAATTGTGTTTCAGGGCTGCGCTGACGCAATTTATGTGAAACACTCCAATCATTATATATTACCGACACATGATCTATATATGTAGTAGCGTGATATCATCGCAAATGTGTTTAAATATATGTACATGCACCATCGAGAGAATCATCTACATGTATATGAAATGGCTATACTAAAGCAAAAAGCTTACAAAGTGAATTCAAATCACAATTCATCGATTAAAGGGGTTTTAACACGTATCAAAATTTCTTAGAAATTAAACACAGTTATATTATTAGAACATACTTATCGTTTATTATAAAATTACGCCATTACGAACTTCTCAACACTTTTAATGATTAGTGAATGATGTGTGTGCGACTTTTAAATTGAATGTTGATAATTTTTTTTGTTTTGAAAGTACAATTTCTATTAGATATTTTATAATACAGAAAACAATCGTGAGCGCACTTAGAAAATTGCCCTGAACTATAGAATGGAGACAAATCCTCGTGCCGATCAAGTCCCTAGAAAGTAAAAAAAAAATATTCCAGTGCTAATTTTTCATCCAAAAGATCACAATTTGTATCTGACTATCTTTCAATTATCCGATTATCAATTATTTAATTTTTAACAGGTTTAATTGACGAAACCATTGATGCGGGTTTTTTTTTAAACAGAATAAGTACTTTGCTGACACCGTTGACGTCAGAGCAATGGCGCGCAACATCAACGATCAAAATATTTTATTTTTTGGAGACATTCAAACTTTGAATCGCTAAAACACCCCAAATATTAATTTTTCTAGCCAAAAGAATTTGATGGATGATTTTAAGGATAAATAACACAAACAATCTTTTTTTCAGAAATCAGCATTATTTCTCATAGATTAACATTTTAATTGACAACCTGAATAATGTTTACCAAGTAGAGTGGGAGAATTTTATAAGATTTTGTCATAAAGTTAAAAAATTGTGCAAAATTTTGTATGGAATTAAATAGAAGGCAAAATAAAATCTCAAATCTAAACACCAATGAAAACCTACGATTTCTTTATATTTCATGGATTTATTATTTATATCAATACAAATCAAAATCAGTCAAAAAATATATATCAACCCGCGCATCCATTTTTTGTTTGTGATAAGTACCCTTAATGGTACATAAACTTTGATTTATTTAAGGTAGAATGCCACACCAATTTTTTATTTTATAGATCTTTGAGTCATCCTTTATAAACAATGGTTTCAGCATTGAAAGGCTGATATTAGCTCTTAATTATTTAATAAGAATTTGTTTGTATTTTTTTCAAAGAAAATGAAAAAAAAATATTTATATCCAAATAAGTTGTTTTCGCATTAAAAGTTTGATGTAAATGAATGCATCATATGATTATCTTATAAAATATGTAAAGAGAGCCTGGTTAGACTTTTTAAATTTTTATATAAAAAATTATTTATGAAAATAAAACACATAATTTGTGAATATTTTTTAAATATATGGGTAAAAACACCATTAAACTAGTCATAACTAAGAACAATATGTTTGTCAATCATATTTTTAAAAGAAATTGAAACGAAATTGAGAAATTTAGAGAAATTAATTTTTTTAAATATTTGGACCTAACCCGATTGAAATTAAACTGATCCCGATCAAAATTAAAACAAAATGAATAAAATGCGGATTTATTGTCTCTTTATGTATTTACAATGAAGAAATCTATTTTATTGTCAGTTTTCATAATGTTATAACCCTTATAACATCTTATCAGACTAGCGTTCTTAGGAAAATGTTATTTATTTCCAATAATTGTACAATTATGGTCGGGATCGGTTTAATTTTGATCAGGATTGGCCAAAATAAAAAAAAAATAATTTCTCTAAAATTTGGCTATTTCGTTTCAATTTCTTTTATAAATATTTATTAATGAATATGTTTTTCCCAGTTGTGACTGGTTTTAAGAAGATTTTACCCACAAATTTAAACAATATTCACAAATTATGTGTTTTATTCTAATAAATATTTTTTTTTATAAAAAAAAAATAAAAAGTCAAACCAGACTTTTTTTACATAATTTATTAGGTATTCATGCGATTTATTCATTTACAGCAAAAGTTTTACAAGAAAGAATCTAATTTTGATGTAAATAATTTGTTTAGTTTTCTTTGAAAAAAAAATCATATAAAATAATTAAGAGCTAATATTGGCCTTTCAATGCTGAAACCATTGTTTAGAATGGTTGACTCAGAGATGTATAAAATAAAAAGTTGGTGTGGCATTCCTCCTTAAATAGATGAGACATGATAAAAACCTTTTAATTTATGTTGTTTAACGTTCCTCGAAAAAAGTTTTCTCTCATATCGCGATAGCACCCTTTGCCAATGGATATCTATACTCGGCACTTAACAGCCATTGAGCCAGGAAGGATCTTTGATGTGCCAGCAGCTTCTGCGACTTGGAGCCTCTGTTGATATGGTCTAATCCGAAAGACTGAACGGTCGCCACGTTCAACAGTGAGATTCGAACCTGCGACTTAAAAATCTACTCCTTTACTGTGTAAATTACTAAAGATTTATGCTAAGGCTTTTATACTTGTGTATTTATTAAAACAAGATCTTTTCACAGTTTATTTTTTTTAACCTCTTGACCTTAGAGTTGAAGCCATATAAAAAAAGGCCACTTCAATAAATATTGTAGCTTAAAAATTTACAACTCATTTAAAGGGCTTCTGTATTCCATAGATGTATTGTTGATGATAAGACCTTTCTTTGGATAGAGTCAATTTTGACATTTTGACATACATCTTGAATTTTACTTACTTTTTTTTTTAAAGTAGGTGTATAGCTTTATATTTTACATGCGTTGTTCCTACGACTATACGTGCGTCTCAGTACTATTAGTTTTTACCTTATCTTTACTTTGAATTTCGCCCATTAAAACATTACTTTTCATTGATTACATAATTTGAATAATTGGTGCCTGACCTTTCATATAGGTATATTCACTGAGAACAGTTCTTTCTTTGAACAACAACCTTTTTGACTCTTGACCTTTGCATTTGAGGGAGATTTCTTTGCATTTGAGGGAATTTAATCTTCACCATTACCTGCCACACATTGGCATCTGTGATTCAAAATGCATTTTGTTCTTTTTATATGTCTCTATAAGTATTACAGTAATCAAGTTGAACAAATTTTTTACATGGACCTTAAATTGTTTTTTCAGCGTTTGCAATGCTTAAAACAATGGAAGATTTGTCTGAAGAGAATATTGGTAATGTAGATTTTTTATGGGTCAATTAACAAAAAAGTATTTTCGCAAAATAACATTGTATTTTTCGTATTTTTGATTTTTCTTTTAATTATTTTTTTTTTTGGGGGGGGGGGGGGGTCTGATATTAAAGTAGAATATATTTTATTTTATTACAGAAGAAACAAAGAGATATTTGAAAAAGTACAAAGTAATTGACAAGTACTTTGTTGAGACACAAATGTACGACAAAGCAAAATCGTGCTTAGAAAAACATGGCATACTTATCATGACGGGTCCTCCTGGTTGTGGAAAAACTAATGCTGCCATTCACTTAATGCTTGGACTATCTGATCAAGACTGGACGTGTAGAAAAATTCATGCATTAGAGGAATTTTCCTTTATTGAAAAGGATGAAAAATCCCTCGTGTTTATTGATGATCTATTTCACCATAGCTTATTGGATTACGATATTGAGAGTTGGTGGGATAAACTAGAATATTATTTTTCCAAGCAGATATTATGCTCTGGAAAAAATAACCAGCAAAAATTGAATCTGATTATAACAGCAAGGGAAAATGTTATCAATAGGGTGTGTTTATTCATGAACAGGGTAGCTCCTCTTTTTCAAGAAAGCTTTCGAGTAGATTTTAATAGTCTAACTGATGATGAAAAACTGGACATTTTCAGTAAACAAACTGAATTTTCAAGTAGAGAAAAAAACATATCGTTTCCCATCGTAAACGAGGAATTTCGATCAAAGATTAAAAAAGCAGAAGGACCGATAGGATTTCCACTCTGTGCACATTTATATGCTTGTAAGCAGGAATACAGAACTCGAGGAGTAAAATTCTTTTCCCATCCCATTGAATTTTTGAAAATTCAAATAAGAGATGAAATCGAATCTGACAAGAGTAGCAGAACTAAAACTTTGTTTTTCGTTCTTTTTCTGTTCGAATGGCATTCGACACAGTTACAAAAGATTGGACGTTCCGCAAAAATTCACATAGAACGAGAAAGCCATTGTAGACAGATTTTGAATGATATTTCTAAGGATCTGATCGATAATTTTATTCCATTGGATTTTACAGAATTGGCAAACGTTGCACAAAGACTACAGGGCTCATTTTTCTTGGTGGAGACCGAAGGGAATTACAAATTTGTACACGACAGCATCCATGATGCTGTTGGTGCTTATTTCTGTGAAACATATTTCACAGAAACAGCAATGTATTTTCCATTAGATATAATTAAAGATCAAGAATATTACAATTTAAGTGAAGCGTCGATGGAATTACTTGCTCAACGTCTTATTTATGACGCTCTTTGTAATAGATTATCTGAAGTATTTTCCTGTCGCATATTCAGAAATAAAACATTTGTTGACATTTTCTGCAGAGAACTTAAGAAAAAAAAATTGATAACAATAAACAGATTTTTTACCTTAAAAAACGAAAGCTCCAATGTATCACTTCCATGTTTGTTCTGGGTTAGTCATAACTCTTTGACTTACGCATCGGAGAGTTTGTATGAGGTCACAAAGGAAAATTATGTAAATACTGATTACCAGTTTTACCTACATTTATATGGGGAATGCTGCTCTAGAAACAAAAACTTGCTTACGACCGTTAATGGCATGCTACGAAATAATTTCGAAGAAATAAAAAAAGAAGTCTTTAATTTTCGGGATGCTGATAAAAACTCAATTCTTCATCTTCTAGTTTTGTCTGAGCGATCAGATGAGAGTGTGTCGGCTGCGGTTGAAAAGCTATTAGATGATGGGTTAAATGTCGATTCTCGAAACGGGAGAAGTATCACCCCCCTTATGTTTGCAGTTGAACAAACTTTATCAAGGAAACATGTAATTAAAACACTAATTAGTCATGGTGCAAAACAAAAACTTAGTGATTCCGAACGATCTACGGTATATCATCATTGTCTACGTTCTGATAATGATGATAAGACATGTGCAGAGTATTTACAGCTTCTTCTTCCTAAATTAGAAGAGAAAAAAGAAATCTTAAGCAAGGGCGATTCAAGGGGTGAAACAGCGCTTAATACCGCTGCAAAGCAAATGCATTGTAGTAGAATATGCAGTATCCTTAGCCTTCTACAATATGAAGAGTGTATTGTTGGAACATTAAATGAGGAAGGATTCTCCCCAATACACAACGTTGTTGAACATCTCAAAGGAATCTCCACATTTGTGAAGCTTGAATGTTGTATTAGAGTAATTATTTTCCTTAGATATGGCATAGATCCGCAGAAACTCTCAGATAAAAATTTCCGTGCTGTCGACTTGAGCAAAGATGACGTTGTTAACCGAATTTTGAAAAATCCCAAGGACATTTCAGTTATGAAAAATTCTTTAGATGATTTATTAAAAAATATGGAACCTAAACACTGCAAACTAGACATTCTTCCAGACCTGAATGAAAAACTCGGTATTGAAATACAAAGTCGCATAGAAAAAGCTGTTCCATACTTGTTGAATGTGATTTTTGAAAAATAAAATGATTAAAATACTTTAAAGTATACATTTTATTTTATCTCAGAAATAATATCTTAACAAAGAAATTACATGTGTATTTCTATGAAATAAATTAATTGACACTACAGGTATGTTATTCCCCGCTTATATTTATAATTATCGTATTTTGTAACTGTAACAATAAATTTCAAATTAAAGTTGTTTTAAGGATGTACAACACACCTCCCCCCCAAAAATTCCTGTCGTTTAATTTTCGTTCTTTTTGTATATTTAGTACATGACTATATCTACTGCATGTATGCATATTTTGGACAAAATCGTTCGAGTGGTTTTTGGACAGGAACTTCCGAAAGTTACCCCCCCCCCTTTAGTTGTTTACAAGGAGAGAAAAATTTTTAATCAATGAACTACTTAAACCTTGATTTTCAATAAAACCAGGTTAGATATAAATGTCAAATTTCATTTGCTTATTCCTTTGACCATTTAACACAAAAACATAGTTATCTTTTTTATATACATATCATCAAAACAATTTTTAAAGACCTTAAACCGAAAAAACTATGAATTTTCTAAACCTTAAAAATAGCGTATATTTCAAATTCTAATTTTTTTGTGAAAAAACCTGTCGTTTAATTTTCGTAAAAAACTTTCTTTAGGTAGCTGGTAGTAAAAGTAATCTTCATAATTTTTTGTATAATTTTTGTACGACCAGTTTTGATTTAATAGCGGAAAATAACCCCCTCCCCCAATCTCAATAAATCACGTTTCCGCGCGTATTTCAGAAGGGGGTAGATCACTTTGTTATATGAATCTACAAATACACATTAAAAAAAAATTAAATTGGAATATTGCTTTTGCTTTAAAAATATATCAACTTACAAATTTAAAAAGGTCTCATACGTAAAGCGTATTTAAATGTAGATTTTTCGGCAGTTTTTGAATACTCCAATCACCCCCACCCCTTCCCTTTTTGCGTCGAAGACCATAAGCGTTTGACGAAACGTCGTTTTCAGTGCGAATTTACTGGTATTTCGTCAAGATTCCCGGAGGTATGCATTATAGTTTTTAAATTCATGAATGTAGAATAAATATTGACTACTCTTCTTATATGTACAGTGTATCAGGAAAAAATTACTGAAAGATTTTAGTGTTTAGTCCATATACGTATGCATTATCATATGCATTCCATATCACATGAAATCTGGATACGAATTCAAGTTTTGTTGACTGAATGTTGATTTTTCATTTTATTTCTTTAATTCTATTCATTCTAAAAATGGTGTACGTTCAACTCTCCTGTGATATAAATGGAATAATTGTAGTTTCATGTCATTATTTCAAACGAGACAGTATGTGGCCGTGGGAATACATGTACATCGACATTTGCATTAGATGTACATACACCCCTCATGATATGTACGCATTTCTTTCAATGTCGTTGCTTCTAAAGTTAAAATGAAAATTCCGTATTTGTCCACATTAACTTCAAAATATCAATCATTAAACTCTTCATTGATTTTTCAATTTATATCAAATCCCATATTGATATTTTTTTTTAAATTCTTATAGGCTACGTTTTGTTTTCATTCGAGAAAATGCGAACTGACATTGTTGACAGAAAGTTGATTTGCTGCAATATAGGATTTTCATAAATGTAGATAATTTCAGTGCAAGTGAACAATTCTTTTCAATTCTATACTTACATTGTGTATATGATGTCTATAGTATTCAATTCTCGGATTTATCAGGTCTTGCTGTAAATGTATCTGATTCTCTGGAAAACCGTGAATAAAAGGAAGAAAATAAACATCTCCTACATTTTTAGAGTTGTTCCTCTTTGATCAGTTAGGGTCTGAGAACAACATCGATTTTACATTGTAAAAAGTTTATTGTTTATTTATTGTTGTTTTATTCAATTAAAGAAGAAAAACAATATTTATATCGTGTATACACTATTTGTAATGAAGACCATTAATCGGAATGTTACATAGCCAATTGTACATAATAAAAATTTTGGCAATGTAAAATAAAATTTTCAGAATAAAAAAAATCTGCGCTTTGGTCATAAATCAATTTATTGTATATGAAATGAAAAAAACATTAAAAGATGGTATTAAACTATTAATTTTACGGAGTTTAATCGGGTTAATTAAAAAAAATAATTGTTGATTGAGTATGGTACGCACAATCACAGCCAAGCCCTTATCCTAATGTTCTTTCATGATTGATATACATCGGGATCGTTTTACTCGTCGTTTTGACGCTTTATTTTTGAGGTTTAACTTGACGTCACGTCAAACGTTAAATTGAAATCGCAAGAGTTATCTCCCCCAGTGTGTTGTACGTCTTTAAATATAATTGCATTGAGTGAATAAATTCATACATCCGTTTACACATGCTGAAAATTAAAAAATTCGTTACTTGGAATGTAATAATTTTGATTAAATAAGTGACTGAGCTACCATTCCTGGTAGGTATTTTCCAAACAAGTATATTGATTGATTGATTGTATATTGTTTAACGTCCCTCTCGAGAATTTTTCACTCATATAGAGACGCCACCACTTGCCGGTGGAGGGCTACAAATTTTGTCCTATGCACGGCACTCAGGGCCTTTTAGCAGTGAGGGATCTTTTTCGAGCCAACACCTACTGCGACACGGGGCCTCAGTTTATACGGTCCCATCCGAAGGACCTGTCTCCACGTCCCGCAGTGGGATTCGAACCCGCGACGTAAGGATTGACTCCTTACTTCTGGACTCTAACGCAGACGCTATAACCACTGCGCCACGCGGGCGACCCAAACAAGTACATGTCTATATAAAAACTGTGCATGGTTAATACAAGTTATAAACAGGTAATAATTGAAATAAAAGCATGCGTTCTTTTGTAAATATTTTTTGTATGCACGATGGGTTATCAAAACGGCTGCGAAGTGATTGAATTGCTTTCATAGAAGAAATGACACACACCCTCACACACCCTCACACACCCTCACACACACACACACACACATACATATATATATATATATATATATATATATATATATATATATATATATATATATATATATATATATATATATATATATATATATATATATATATATATATATATATATATATATATATATATATATATATATATATATATATATATATATATATATATAAAACCAACAACATATAAAGCACAAAAAATGGCCAATGACAACAACAATAAAAATTGTAAATTTTTCAATTATTACCTGTTTATTACTTGTGTTCTTATGACTTTTTAACTTTTTTCTTTGTCCTGAGGAAGGGAGAGAGCGTCCCAAAAATTTGACAATTTTTGTTGTTCGTGTTGTTGGTAATTTGTAGTACTTTTTCTACATCTTCCTGTACATGTATATGTAAGCTTATAATTACAATTTGAGTACAATATTGGGAAGACGACTCATAGAATTTTAAGTAAAAGTCATCAGGCTTTATTAGGTCACCTGAGTAACTCAGGTGACCTATTGCTATCCGTTTTCCTCCGTCGTCGTGTGTCGTGCGTCGTGCGTTAACATTTGAACATTTTCAGCATCCTCTCTGAAACCGCTGCACCAATTTCAACCAATTTTAGCACAAAGCATCTATGGGTGATGGGAAACAACAATCGTGAATTTCGTGGTCCCCGCCCCCCTAGGGCCTGAGGGTTGGGCCAAAACAACAAAAATTAGTGCAATCTTTAAAAATCTTCTTCTATACTCTTGGACATCAATAGACAAACTGTTGGCATGAATGTAATGAGCATAGATCTTCTACCAATATAAGGAAATTCATGGCCCCAGGGTCAAGGGTTCTAGTGCTAGGGCGGGGCTATATAGATCATATAGTGAAAATGCATGATTTTTGAAAATCTTCTTCTTTGCTCCTTGGTATTAAAAAACCAAGCACATAGTTATGATGAGCAAGAGTGCCTCTTCCAAAAGTGTGAATTTTATGACCCCAGGGTCAGGGGTTCTGGTGTTAGGGCGGGGCTGTATTGGTTATTTAGTGAAAATGCATTTATTCCTCGAAAATCTTCTTCTCTACATCTGGGTATCCATAAACTAACTAAGTACATAGTTATGATGAGTAAGCGTGCCTCTTCCAAAAATGTTACTTTTGTGACCCCAGGGTCAGGGGTTCTGGTGTTAGAGTGGGACCCTATTGATTATAAGGTGAAAATGCATTAATTCTTTGAAAATCGTCTTCTCTGCTCCTGGGTATTTAATAAACTAACCAAGCACATAGTATTAATTAGCAAGAGTGCCTCTTCCAAAATTGTGAATTTTATGACCCAAGGATTAGGGATTCTGGTGTTAGGGCAGGACTCTACTGATCATATAGTGAAAATGCACAAATTCTTTGAAAATCTCCTTCTCTGCTTCTGGGTATTAAATAAACTATGTAAGTTAATAGTTATGTTGATCAAGAACGCCTCTTCCAAAATTTTGAATTTCATAGCCCCAGGGTCAGGTGTGTTGGTGTTAGGGCGGAGCTTTCTTGATCATATAGTGAAAATGCAATAATTCTTTGAAAATCTTTTTCTCTACTTCTGGGTATTAAATAAACTATGTAAGTTAATAGTTATGTTGATCAAGAGTGCCTCTTCCAAAATTGTGAATTTTATGGCCCCAGGGTCAAGTGTTCTGGTGTAAGGGCAGGGCGCTATTGATCATATAGTGAAAATGTATTAATTCTTTTTAAAATCGTCTTCTCTGCTCCTGAGTATTAAATAAACTTAGTATATAGTTATAATAAACAAGAGTGCCTCTTCCAAAATTGTGAATCTTATGGCCCCAGGGTTAGGGTGCAAGATGTTTCGGGACCACGACGTTTCGGGACCTGACAGATACGACGTTTCGGGACTAGCGACAAGACGGTTCGGGACTTGGGTAAAGACGATTCGGGACTTGAGTAATTTTTTTTTTCGGGATCTCAACAAATTATTTTATTATGGTGATAAAGCATATTATTTTAAGTACACATTGTACGTAATATTTCAAGCTAAATCCGAATTTTAATATTTATATAAAAAAAATTCATAAAGATATACTTTGATGTGTTTTTTTCCATAACAGACGAATTAGAATGATCTCTACGAAATTTATTCTTATTTCTAAAAATCTTATCAAATCTTTTATAAGTCATTTTTTCTTGTGTGTATGTGGTAAAGGGGGGGGGGGGGGTTGTTGTTCCAAACTTTAAGCTTCTCAGGTTGATGATATATGTTTTAAAAATATTCAAGTGATTTCCAGCTACCGTTTTATATCTTAAAAAAAAACATGTCAGTAAATTGTTAAAACAACAACTAGGGTCAGGTGTTGGTGTTACGTACATGTATAAAAACGCCGCCGGTAATGCCAACTAAAAAGATCGATTGATGGTTTCTTTCGAAATTATTTTCTGAAAATAAAATTCTAAAATATGGAAAAAATGTCGTTTTTTTATTGATAATGAAATAATTCAAAATCAAACAATAATTATACAATGGCAATGATTTCCCCATCATCAATAGTTCATCAAAATATAAAGGTTTTCAATTTGTTTTGAACTTGTTTTTGTCTATTTTTTTCCCAAACAATTTCTAATATTTTTTTTCAAAAAGTTTGATCATAGTATTGTAAGATTGATATGAAAAATTTAATATTTGCAATTTAAATAATATTTAGTATTTATTATTATTATGCATTGGTCGGGTATATACGAAGATGGGTTAATTACTTTCATTGCACGAGATTTGTTGTCTGTGTATACACAGTAAACATAAATTAAAAAAAACAGCTACCCATAAACGTAAAGTTTTTACTGCACATGTGCTAGCTTGAGCCTTTGTAAATTCTGTAAACAAATATGAAATAAAACACCTAAAATGATTATTATTATTGAGAGAAATAAAGTCTTAGAAAGAAAACACGTCCGTGGTCTTTACAAAGCAGATTGTCTCCCGGTGTCTTTAATTCTACAAATTCCCGTATCAAACATTATATCAAATACATAATTCAAATGTATATTTTTTGAATTAAATTTTGGTTAATCAAATACTTTATAAAGGTAATATATATCATGTATATTAAATACTGTAATAAGAAATTAAAGAGACAACATTGAGAGCGTTTTATTTTCTCGGCAGGCGTGCTTCGTGCCGCATGCAAACTTTTAAAACTAATAAAATCTCGTATCTTTGCTTCTTAAATTATAAATTGTGTATTAACTGAGAAATTATACATGTAGAAACATAAAAACACAAGTAAACAAGTTTTATTTCATTTCCTTAACAAAATACATTGAAGTCCCGAAACGTGTTAGCCCAATTCCCGAAACGTGTTAACCCAAGTCCCGAAACGTGTTGACAGGTCCCGAAACGTCGGGGTCCCGAAACATCCAGAATTCCAGGGTTATGGGTTCTGGTGTAAGGGCGGGGCTCTATTGATTATGTAGTGAAAATACATTAATTCTTTGAAAATTTTCCTTTGCTCCTTGATTTTATGCCAATGATCCAAGTTTATATATTTAAGATGAAAAAAGGTGCATCTAGCATAATGGATAATTTATGCCCCCCTCCCTGGGTCGGGGGTTAGGGGGGTGGGGTATAAAGTCTGAAAATAAATTAATGCTTTGAAACCTGCTCTTTGGAATTAACCATTTTATGATAAAATTTGCAAAATTTTGAAATATGTGGCCCCAGGTTCAGTGGTTCCTTTGGGATGAGGTGCATTACTGGTTATAAAGTGGAAGTGCATTTTCTCTTAAAATTACTCTGATCTACTATTGGTATTAAGTAAATAGAATAAGCATGCTAAGTCTATAATTATGATAAGCAATGATACCTCTTTTAACATTGTAAATTGCGAATTTAATGGCCTCTGGTTTAAAACACGAAGCAAATTTAATTGTTTGAAAGTTGTTGCACAATACTCAGGTGACCTATAAGGTCCGTGGGCCTTTTGTTATTAATATCAAGTCTAATGATGAGAATTTACAGTTATGATATCTCTCTTTCTCTTCCGTCTTGATGTTTCCTGTATCCTTATGTCTTTGTATATTTTAAATATTGGGCACATTAATATTCCTGAACTGTTAGTATCTTGAGATGATGAAATTTTATAATAATTGTCGAAGACCAACTATATTTCTGTTCTCTTCTTTTTGTCAGTAAAATTGTTATTTTAAATTTTTATGCATTGACTGATGTATTTACCCAATTCATTTACCAAATGAACTTTAAATACTGGTATAAAAAACTAAAGAAAATAAAAACGTAAATATTCATGTATTATTCTACGTGGAAAATTAAAACATATAATTAATTGCTTTGATAAAAAAAAGAAATAAATATAAAAAAAACAACCCGGAGAATTAGAATAAATAAAATATACATGTATTTAATATTAAATAATATTTTAATTATCATAATAGATTTACACTTCACAGACACACATTTTGCTTATATGTACAGTGTTTTGGTTTATATCGATTTAAATCTTATATCCCAATCGACAGATCAGTATGCCATTTTGATTGGTTAATGTGCTGATTGACAGCTCTGAAAAGAAATACGGGACCCGCGTTCGGTCTCTGGGACCGCTACTGAATTTGGGGTCCGCTTCGGGTTTGCTCGGGGTCCGCTACGGGTTCGCTTTGGGTCCTCCCCGGGTTCGCTCGAGGTGAGCCCTAGCGAACCCCGAACGAAACCGAAGCGTACCATGAGAGCGAACCCGGGGTCCGCTCGGGGTTTGCTTTCTGTTGGGTTGAGTCCGGTCGGTACTGTAAATTGAGAGAATAATCTTGTTTAGTATCATCAGGAATTGGGTCTAGTTTACGTTCATTATGGTGAAGTCATTCAGTTTGTTAATACCATTTGTGCGGAATGACTTAAATCCGTGCATCCAGAACTTTTCTTTGGTTTTTTCTCTGAGTGTCTGTCCATCTTGGGTTATGGTCAATCACCACTTCTTTCATGTCCTCCAATTTGTGACCCCCATAGTTGAAATGTTCCTTAACAGGTTCATTGAGTTTTGGGGTCTTAATTATCGAACAGTGGTTATTGACTCTCCTGGGGAGATCTCATGTTTCACCAACATACTGTTTGAAACAAACTTTGCAACTGATGAGATAAATGCAGTTGTCAGTATGACAGGACAAATTCCCTAGTATTTTGTAGTGCGGCCTGTAACAGGACTGTTAAAACTGTCAGTGTCAGTGCTGTGTTTACAAATAAGACATCTTCTGTCAGAGCAAGTTTTAAAGCCCCCGGTAGGTAATTTATTATGTATGATTAAATGTCATAAAGAATTGACATATTGTAATGGAAGGTTGACATAGTGTGAGTAAATGTCAAAGAAAGTTGATATAATGCAAAGGTAATGTGGGTTAATGTCATGAAGAATAAACATTATGTAATGGAAGGTTGACACGATGCAATAGTAGTGTGGATTAATGTCATAAAGAGTTGACATAATGTAATGTAAAGAAAAGAGGACACAATACACTAATAGTGTGGTAAATGATATATTGAGTTCACATTATGTAATGGAAGGTTGACATAATGCAATAGTAGTGTGAGTAGTCGACATAATGTAACGTGACGCAATGCAATTGTTGTGTTCTGCTATAAGGCAGTATTGGCATTCCATATTTCCATACTTTATGAATGAAAATGTGATGGTATGAATAACTGCATATTGCTTGCAAAAAAAAACAAGTTTACACATTTATTTTATATGACGAAATAGAAAGAACAATGGCGCTTTTGATTTGCATTCGGCAGGAATCTGGGTGTACTTGTAAAGTAAAAATTTTATCGACATGTCTCAAGAAATGTTAACATTTTTTCAGGGGGGGGGGGGGGGGGGGGGGGGGGTCCTGTAAAATGGGAAAGAAAAGCATTTTCCTGAAAGTAAGTTTTAGATTTGCTAAAATAATAACTTGAAAATTGGCTAGATCAGACATTTGGTATAAAATGGTACATTTTAAAACACGTTTTTCTAATAAAAAAAATTCTATCCCTAGGTCTTCTCTCCGTGATTTTGAAAAGTTATTCGACAAGGTGTGCATTTCAATTCAAGAAAATGAACAAACATATGCAAATCATTTTCCCAAAAAATCCAAGTGTAAATGTGGTGCTTCTTTGTCCATTAAAAGTTTTCAATGATATGCAGCACTGATAGCTCAGTAAGATGAACTACCTGATCGATCAATGCACTAGAAGGTAGTTCTTGGTTCGAGTCTCGCGCGGGGCGTTAATTACTATTCTTTAATAATCAATTCTTTTGTCAGTTTCATTTAATGTACTGATTTATTGAAGTTTTGAATTAGATAAATAAGGTAATTTGCACCAAGATAGATGTTATTTTCTATAATTCAATTTGTTGCAGAGTTTTTTATGTTTATATATAGCCAGGATCGATTCTGTGCAAGAAAGGAAATCATTTCTTTTGAGAAACAAACATACTTGGAAAAACTGGATAATTACCAATATGAAATAAAATCTCCTTTTCAATCAATAATTTCCACATAAACATGGCCACTTAATTCCGATTTTGAAACATTCAACGCCTCTTGAATCTGATTTACATTATCAGCATCTTTTTCTAAATGCTCTTTCGCAGATTTGTTCTCATATATGGCGCTCCTCCCTTCTTCAGTGTCCTGCTGCTGACATATTGGATCTATATACGTGGAATCAGTAGGAATATCAACCTCTTTACTAGGAGTATTAAGGTTGAGACATTTGTAACTGACGATTTGATTTGAGCAAACGTTCCGTTCCCTTTCATATGGTATATTTTGAGATCCAAGGCAATGTTTATAAAAGTATGTTCCGACGAAAATTGCAAAGAAGAGAATAAAGATACCAATGAATGAAACAATTATGTAAAAAACCAAATTAGTTAAGCCTGGAAAGGTAATTGTTCCATCCTTTGGAGCTTCTTCCGTGATAAATGATGATTTTTTTGGTATGTTTTTTGTCGATAGATAATGCGACGGTGTGCTTTCAACTGTCAAAATACAATAAAAATAGATACAATCTATGAACATGGTTGTATAATGATTGCATTAATGTTATTTTTAGCTCAAATAACTTGGATAACCTTGATGTTTGTTGCATCCGAATCTATGGTCACATAAATTTTCTTTACACTCGCATGTACCTTGACAATCTTCGCCATAACTTGGAAATATGCAACTTATGGAACAGTTGATACTGCGGTAGCCAATCGGGCACTCTTTATGATAGAAATACAATGTAGGATATAAAAACAAAATATTCCTTTTAAATGTACTAAGGATAAATGATTTAAATAATACTATTTAGAAATCTATACATACTTTCACAGGTCAATTTGTTATCATTCCAGAATGATCCTGCGCAGCAAATAGATCCTTTAAGGCTGTAAAAAATATAGATCAACAATAATTTTAAAAAAGTTATTATTATAATACGACTACAATAAAATATAACTTTTTACCTTCCACATATAGACATGGCTCTCCATGGCAGCAAAAACTTTATTGCAAACAACAAAATCATCTTGTTTTGTTGAACTCGAATGAAAAACATGCAAAGGTTAGCTATGTAGGTTGAATATGAATTATGTTATTTTGAAATATAGATATATTTTACAAGGAAATACTCATCATCGTGTATTAATTAAACTTGCACCGACAGGAAATGTGCAAGTACTTTAATCAATTTTTGTTAGATCAAAGCAAAACAAAAACAACACAGGGAGTTACATGTATGGTATAAAATTCACTTGCAAAAACTCATATTCCTCGTGAGCTATCGCCTTTTCAATGAATGTTTTACACACAAAATGAATGTATAAATTTACAAACTTAATCTTTTAATTGCAAAACAAATAGATGTCATTTTCTTAATGTGTTATAGTATAAAATGTCACTTTAAAATCCCAAAGGCTTCTCTAGATATCGTGTTGAAACGTAAATGTTAAAACAGACAGAACTTTTAAATTTATTACCTATAGACCTTCGACTTTTTGACTTCAAAATCAATAGTGCTCTACACCTTAACCCGTAAGGAGCTATTGTGTAAAATTTCATTGCATAGGCTCATACAGTTAGGCTTCTCGAGATATCGCGTAGAAACGAAAGCGTTACAGACAGACAGAAGTACAGCTAGACGAACGGACATACAGATCTTTGGTGAAAATACGCTAAGACAATTCTGTTGTTCAATCATTTTGCAATTATTAAAATTATAACCTTATTTTAATTAATCTTTATATAAATTATTATTCCTGTGAAAGATATATACAAATACTGGCATGTCTTACTTTTGTACATACGAGTTGGTTCATTTAATTGGTATCGTAAAATAGGCTTATTTACGACAGTTAGTTTTATTTTCTATTTTGCAAATAATAGCAAAGTTAATTCAGGAGATTCAAAGACTTTGGTATAAGGAAAATCTTGACTAATCTATGGCACAATGTAAAGAAATTTTCATGATTGAAAATATATTAATTATGTTATTTTGTAAACATATTTTACAAGGAAATACTTATCCTCATGTTTGAATATAAATTGCACCAACAGGAAATGTGCAAGAACTCAAATCAATTTTAGTAAGATCAAACCAGAACAAAAACAACGAGGAAATGAAAAGAAGAGATTGTTGTTGACCTGGCGGGAGGGGGGGGGGTGAAAGTGACACATTTAGATTGTGGGATGGGACATATGAAAATATGGTATAAAACTCATTAACAAAATCTCATTCACTTCTGGAGCTATCGCCTGGAAGTGAAATTTTTTACACACAAAAATAGTGTATGAGTTTACGAGCTTGACCTTTGACCTTTGGATCGCAAAATAAATAATGTTTTCCTTAGGTGTTGTGATATACGAGGGTTGTCCCATAAAATCGTGGACAAAGCGTTTTTCTCGAAAAGTGATGGGCGCACTAAGCTGAAATTTCAATAAATGTTTATTCATATTTAAGTGAATCATAATGTTTTTGATAATATATATTCAAAAATAAAGATTTTATTCTGCTTGAATGTGCACAAGGTACGGTCTTACGGCGCACGGTAAAAATAGCAAGGTTATATTACAGAAGACATAAGAATTAATTCATAATAAAAATTTCCAATACATAAGATTAGGATGAAAATTATCCTAATTCCATTCCTTAAGCAATTCTGTCGTCTATTTAAAAATTTCAAGGCATTTGGTTAATTTTTGCAGTTTCCCGAGCATTTGAAATTGGATAGTTATAAACACAATACACGGAAAAGGGTGACTTTTTATGTCGTTACGGCGCACCGGAGAGCAATTCAGATAGATTAGGATGTTGTAATGACGCCTTAAGAGAATTTAAATGAATACAGAAGAAAGAAAATATAAAAAAATATCACCAGATCTTTAGTATATAAATGAAATGAAAGTTTTCTTAGTGAAGTCTTCGTGGTCGAGTCCCCGGATAGTACAAAACATATGGACAGACTGCCATTTGTAATAGCAAAGGACGCTGTCACTGTTGACCGTCGATGTGAGATTCTCTTTAAAGCTGACATGAATTCTTAAAAACGCAACATTTTCATCTATGTACGACTTGTTTCATACCAATGATAGCCGTATTCCGCCATATTTTTCTCAGATACCTTGTCTCATTGTAACGATGTATACCCCAATGAGCTCGTTACAGTTGAGTGATTTTTTGGTTTTGGTATCGAATTGTGCACATCTCCGATGGTAAAGCATATATGAGAACACAAAAGAAAATCAAGACATTTCAAAACCACAATAAACAAAACAATAATCATATTTCTGATTGATTTGAACCAAAAGGGAAAAAAATGCAAATTTGGTGAGAAATTTAGATGCACGAGTACGTATTTTTACAGTGCGCCAATTTATGCAGAATAAACTTGAAATAAAAAGCAGTAAAATCTGAAACAAATTTTTAAATTATTATATTTTTAATGGCGAAAAACAACCAACGTTTTTGATCTGCAGCCCCTATGCAATTGGTGAATATCGAGAAAAAACGCCTCGAACTGTCGAACGCTGTAAACGTACCCATACCTGGTAATAAGGTTACTGCATCGGTTCGAAGATGTGCACAAGTCAATTGATATACACCCTGAATTCCATTTATTGAAATATGCATCACAAAAAAGAAATAAACTCCGTAAAAGCTCACTAGTAAACACACTGTCATTACTCCGTACAGACACCTAGTCCGTGCTAATCAGATTTTGGTCAGGGAAAATATCACAAATGGAAAGAGAAGTTATTTGGTATTTGCGCGGCTGAAAGGGGGTAGGGGTGGGTTATAACTGCTGGTCATAAGCTATAATTGTGAATTGTCTATCTACATGTAGTTCTAATATACATTATATACAAAGTCATGTAGATAGTCTGCAGTTGGTTTGCGTCGCAAAATTCATTTGTCAATTATATAACTGATAATTGTGGTACTAATCTCAAATTTAAACCAAGTAATTTGATGTACGGCAATTATTTACTAACTTCAAATCTTAAAAGCAATTAACCAGAATAAACATTTTTTTATGTGTACATAGATCTATACGTTCTTTTACACAGAGACACGCGAAGAAATGCCATCCCCTTTTCAGATTGACATTTGGGCATTTGATTTTTTAGGCGGGGGGGGGGGGTGCAAAAATAATTGACATGACCGTTATCTAAATATTCTTGGAAGACGGACATCTCTGCCGAATTCAATTTTGAAAATTTTATTTTAAATCGCAATGTATGTGCATTTTGAGGTATGTATAAATGTTTTATAATTATGGTGTTATAGAGAGGCTTTCGAGATTTCAGTATCCCTGCCTGATAGTCCAGTTCCCTTTTTTATATTTAAAAATAATTTATGTAGGAGTATCTAGGAGATAATTCTAATAGCTAAGGTGGGAGTCTTGACAATGGTTGAATACGGATAATTTTTATTTACTAATTGTATATTGAACTAACTCTCTCTCTCTCTCCTTCTCTCTCACCCTCTCTCTTTCACTCTGTAACCATCTATAAGCATCTCTTGGGGCAATAATAGGTATAAGATCCTGCACTTTGTGCTGTCTATATATTAAGCCTTAGGACAGATCAAGGGTTTTTTCAGGCAGGATGTCGAAACTTCATAGATTAAATTATAATTTTAATTTGGACGAGAAGTTAATCCAAACGGCCAAATTGAAAGAGAAACTAGAGGTATTGAGCTCACTAAATGATACTCCCGCCGCCCATATGGTTATAATGGCAAAGTCAATATTTTGCTGTTGTCGCTAAACCCAAAATACGTGTCGGATCAAAAAGTAAAATAGGAGGTGAAAATGGTAATATGTTATATACTTATAAGATTCTGTACATGTGAAAGTTTTATTTAATTTCAGTAAGTGGTATAAGAGGATTTGCGAATAGGGGATGGGTACCCAAAGCGTAGCAGACCTACGGACGGACATAACTACTACTATATACCCTCCCACTTTTCAAGCGGGAGATATAATAAACGTGAAATATACATCACAGGAATGGGTACATCGGGAACTTTCTCAAATACCTTCTCAAATGCATTGGCGTTGGAAGCAAATTGAAAGCGGGGGCAGGGAAGGGGCTAACTGCAACGAAATTTTTTTTTATACATTCAAAAAATCTTGACAAGCTTAAAAAAGGGGGGAAATGTCCTTTTCCTTAATACAAATATCCTATTTCGTGTGGGGAAAAGGGGGGGGGTCGAACTTCAGTAACAATTTTTTTTTTCTCCGAACACCAACACTTTCCTCTTTTTTAACTTATACTGCAACTTGTCTGTGAAAAGCAGGGGGGAGGCTAAACCTACGCAGCAATATTCAATGTCTATACTTAGTATATATTTTACCCCCCCCCCCCCCCCCGGTTCTGACACTTAAATGCTGAGCCCGGACAGCAAACAAGAGAATTTTTAAAAAGTTAATTGTAGGTAGAATGCGGAATTCTCACGGGGGTTTCCTCTCTCTTGTTATCTGATTTTTCTAGTAATTATTAATTATTTAAGTCCAGAAATTTAATTCACATTAAATTCTATTTTCATTATCATTGTACCACAGAATCAAACTCGTTTATTATACCCCTCGCAACAAGTTGCGTGAGGTTAAATGTTTTGGACCCATCAGTCAGCCCTATTTTTTTTTTTTTTTTTTGGTCAGCGCAACTTCTTATAAACTAATTTTTGATCTATGCTGATATTCATGGGAGTCAATGTGACTGTATTTGTACATCACCAGGAAATTCCGAAATTTTTATTTTTTCGGGAATTTCCACACTTTTACATTTAGATTTTGGCCATATCTTCAATATAAAGATGAGCAGTTTGTCAGCACAATTCCTCATAAACCGGTACCAGCATACAATTTCGTCAAACTTAGCAGATAATTAGGACACGATTAGTTGCAATAATGTAGCCCTCTCCGATTTTTTTTAATATGATGTTTTCTGGAGAGGGCTACAATTCCATCGCATCTTCGT